GAGAAGGAGCCATATCAGCGACAACAGACCATCCGCATAGACCGTCACAGCAAGTCGAGTTTTGGCCGTGGCCATGATTCCGTCATCTCGCACCCGTTCTCGCCAAAGGCATCCTCTGCGCCAAGCCCCTGCAGCAGCATCTCCTCGATCGGCCAACAACGCAACTCAACAGCCGAGATCCGATACTCCAGTAGATCAGAGATAGAACAAGGAAGCATACAATATCCACAACAAGCGCATCTTGATCCAGAGAAACATGGCTACGGCTCGTCGCAAGGCCGCCGATCTCCAAACCGTGTGTCTGCGGCCGGACCAGACGGCGATGCGATCGTCTACGACAAAGGCGCCTACCATGAGAAAGGCCCAGAGGAGAAGGCATGGCAACTACTGGTATGTGTTGTACTTTTTCGAAACTCTCTGGAGTGTGGCTAACAGCATGCAGTTTTGGCTCTGCGCCCCCTGTGCTTTCCTCTCCGGCGCCATCGCTCTCTGGACGATCTTCGCTCTCCTGATCTCGCTCGCACTAGCACCATTGCGATTATGCACCAAACGCCCGTCATTTTCGGAACAGATCACGGCCTTCCTTGCACCAGCGCTGAACCTGCAACTACACCTGGTCTATTCACACGACTCGACGACTGGCTACAGTGCGCCTATGCTTGTCGTCATCCACCTGTTTTCACCTATTGTCGCATTCGGTGTCGCAATCGCCGCATGGACCGCCGCAGGATTCTGGTTTTTCTCGTTGATATTAGGAGACCCTGGAGGTCACGACGGACACAACGACGGCAAGGAGAGCATCGTCGGCGTACGGAACTGGTGGGAACGATGGCTCTCGAGGGGACTGCGAGAGACGAATGTCTGAAGAGAAGGCTATTGCTACGACGACGAGTTTTTGATTTTACCGTTCGCCCAGTGACGGGACGAGCGATGTTTAAGCGGCATATACCATGGCGTACTTTTGTTTTGGTGGGGCATCGGACATGAAGGAATGCTGATCTGGGATGACAGCACGGCGTTATTGGGCCTCTCTGTGTAAGAGTAGGAGAGCAAGAGAAGCTCGACATGATATACCCCATTTGACTCGAATACCACAACATCTCTACAACATCCATAATGTCTCTTGCACATGCAACTCGCAATCGTCAGTGTACCTCGTACGAATCACTTTACACCGTTACATTTCCAAGCAGGTAACCCGCGCTTCCAAGCCACTACCCACGCCTTACCAAGGAGTCCAGGCGCAAACTCACCCGTACTCAGCCCCTCGGCCCCTCCAATGCTTCGAGCAACGCCACACGCGTCCAAGACGCATGGCACCCAGAGAGCGGAAATCCAGTTGCCCCGACCGCCCGATCCAATCTAATTGCAAGCCACACATGGGGAGTGAGCATGTTAGCAGCCCAATGCTTACCGCCGCTCCGCCCATTCCGCTACATGTGTTTCGACACGTTATCTGCTCACCGCAACGATAACTTCTTCTTGCGGCAGACTTGCCGTCCAAGACTCGTGCCAATACCGCCCAGATTCCGCCGCGGATACGCTGTTTGCGCTATGGGGCTCCGCTCGGGCTTGGGGTTGGGGAAGAAGGAAGGGGTGGGAAAAGCAAGGGCGGTGGTGGAATATTGGAGAGTGTAAACAGAGCACGTGTTTGGGGAGTGGAATTGAAGGTCTTGTGAGGGGTGATGAGCTACGAATCTCTTAGTATAAGCCTACCCTTTATCTACATCATCTTGCTCATCAGCGAGTGAACCCGCGCATTCCTCGTGTCTAGTAGTTCATCCCACCAACCCTCCCCAGTGACACAAACCAGGTATCCCCATCACAACCGCCCAGGCCAACACCAACACGCAATGCACCAAGAACCCCAAGCAGTCGTTCGTAATAATCCTCTCGTGATGAGCGGAATAATCTCGTACCCAGGCGCATCCATACGTAAGAAAGCCAAGACGTATTACGGTGGGGTTTCGCCGAGTGAGAGACTCACGGACAGATGTGGTTTCATGTGGTTGCGCGTCGCTGGCGCGTTCGCTTTACAACGCTGAGTAGATGTGTATGTGCAGTATAGCAAAGGCAAAGGAAAGAAGTGGCCGGATACAAGACGGGTATGTCGGCTTGATAGCACTCTTAGGTCGCTAAGATAGAGTTCTGTGGGTGTGGCGCGTATGTCCTGCTCATCCCCCGATTCCCGATTCTTGGGGAACGGACAGGCTGGGTGATGAGTGTCACAGTTGGTAGATCGTCAGCTCACTCGGGTAGAGTTGCGATCATTGTACATGTCCCCATACTGCAGTCTGGCGATATGAGACCGATTGCTTGGACTTAGGTGATGAGCAACATGCTCGAGGGAAAGTTCCGCGCGGAAAAAGGGCCGAGGAGATGAAGCTATCTTTCTCGGTCCTTTTCCCTTTCCTTCTGCGAGCTGCGTTTGCGTTCGTTGCCAATGTGAAACCGGGATGTCCATCTGACGTGTGTCTGGGCATGCGGATATCACGGCTTGCGCTGTTTATGCGATGGGTGTGATCGTCGCTTTGTTATGTGAGGGTGCGGCGCGCTGTGAGAAGTGCTGGATACATAGGAACGGTATGCTGATCTTGTGTACGTGTGTGAGAAAGTATTTGTATTCATCGAGTTGAGCATGCGCTTGAGGTTTGATGCGCAACTGTAGATTCGTGTTCGTATTCATCGTACTCGTGACGTACACTGCTACGATCTAGAATTCCTTGACAAAAACATTAGGGCATTAGACATGAGAATAAGCGTATCTGTACAGAAAAAATTATGTATGGTACAAGAAGGATAAGAGGCGGAGAAAGCGGCGTTCCGTCCGCGTTCATACGAAAGCTTTGGCTTTGGTGTGGAACTTGTGTGCGGGCTGTGAGACGGTATGTGTAAGGTCTCTGGTGTCGCAGTGCGATTCGAATGGCTTGTTGGCGATACGAAAGGACGCATTCGTATACAACTGATCGTGTAATGCTGACGAACGTTGCTTTACTTCGTCGTTTTGCTCCTGCTAGTAGGGGCGTGATATGTGGTCGTGCTATCATCTCCGGGTAGGGAAACTTCAATCGTTCCCGCTCGAATGTACTTGTCGTATAGTAATCTGACTCTTCATCTTCTTATGGCCTCTACCCCGCATAGTCTCTCTTGCCATACAATTCTTCAGGCACTGCTCAACGATCGAAGGGTCGCTGTCGAGAAACTGCTCGTTCAAGAACCAGCTCGAGCTCCTTTGTACAGACAGCCGCAAGCAACTCCTCTCACTCCCGATCTGCTTCTGGAAGTAATGGTCGAGGAAGGCGTAGGAATCGTCAAAGGTCTTGTAGCAGCTGTTGCATGCAAACGTCGCTTTGTCGTTCGTCGCCATTGGGTCGAGCGCAATGTGCGAGGTGAAGAGTATACATCTGGACGCTGGCAGTCCGGAGTGTGCCGCGACCGAAATGCATGCATCGCAGTGTGGGCATATCTCCCTGTCGTCGTGTTTATCATGTGGGAAAGCTTTCTTGGCGCGTAGTGTGCTCGATTTGGACTCTTTGAGATCTTTCCGCAGGTTGTCTGCGAATGGGCAGAACTCTACTTTGAAACGTGGAGGGGGGAGAATGGGCGATAGAATTGGCGATTCGAGACGTGCGTATTGTTCGCGTAGAGCAGTGAGGCAGGCGCGACGGACGCTTTTGGCGGTCGTAATTATGTCGTCAATAGGTATCGTTGGTGTCGAAGAAAAAACGCTGTCGTAAAGTGGTTGTCTGATTTCGTATTGGATTCGCAGGAGTTGTGCTGAGAGAATGGTGTTGCATTTTGCTACACAAGGTCAGTCTCTATAATCTCAGTATTGAACCGCGGACTTACTGTCGCCTTCCTCAAATCGCGCCCCAAATCTTGCTTTTCCTTGCTCCATGATCCTTTGAATCTGTCGCCCCAGACTCAGAGCTTTGCCAACAGCATCGTCGCGGTTCTTCGTGCCGAGACATAACCATTTGGAACGCGTGCGACGATGCCGCGCCTGCCATTGCTCGTACGCCTCATGCGCATCTTGGAATTCGCGATCGATGTCCCATAGCGTAAGAGACCCATGTGTCGATTTCTCCCACGAGACAGCCATGTTAGACATTACACCAGAAAAATACGCGTATAGAATCGCAAAAACAAACAAACAAGAGGAAGCGGGGAAAGCAGGCGAGCGACGAAGGTGAGTTTCAGAAGGGAACAACTATCCTTAAAGCAGGAAGAGGTCTACCGTATGGGGAAATATCTCCAAACCGCACGATCTCGATTAAGACGCAGAAACCTGAAAACGCAAGGGCATGGAGAAAACAGGGTCCACAAGCTTGCGGGTGCTGCGCTGGCTTTACATAGAGCTGCGAAATCCTGCGTCATGTCACCTGCAGGTACCAGGGCCACCGCATAGGGAGGCTCGCAGGCGTGGAAATTAACTGCATATCCATTGCCGTGGCTGTGTGGCGGGTCTGGGCGATATTGAAGGATTGAAGAAGCGAAAGATTGCTCCGGCACCTCATTCTCCTTTCCCAATGGTACGCAAGCTCCTATGCGCCGCCGACCAAGAACGACAGGTCCATGTGGGAACATGCTGGTCCGTGAAATTCAGAGAAGGGAACTATAGCTGGTAATCATATCGCGGGTGCCGAGGATCGTGATGAAGATGCAGGGGCAGCAGCAATGATCCCTCGCGCCATGGTCCGAGCATTCCCGTATCCTCCGATTAAGGACGCCTTATTCGAGTCGTGGCACGCTACGGTAATGACAATCACCGCCGCATTGAATTGGCCTTTGATACGGTCGTGAGTGTTGTTCATGCGAGCGGCGTGTCGTCGCCTGTCAGCCTATCGCCGGTGTTATTGAGTGAAGCTTCGCTACCAGGGTTGCGCCGGATTGAACCCCACGTCTCTCGTCGTGTCGTGCCCCACCATGGAGATCCTCGAGCTTCGCTCCTGCTTGCTGGCTTCCTCTGTTGATTGATAGTCATACTACATCATACAACAATGTCTACCGGCCACTCACACGAAGGCGCGTCGCATTCGCATTCGCACGAGGCTGCGGATCACGGCCACACGCATGAGATCCTCGATGGGCCGGGGAGCTACCTGGGCCGCGAGCTGCCCATCATCGAGGGAAGAGACTGGGAAGACCGGTCCTTCACTATCGGAATTGGAGGGTACGATGGTCCCCGTGTGACACGTACATGTCGCTACACTGCTCGGCCGATGTTTGCCTGTGGCAGGGTTGGCATGGCATGATGTACTATATCCTCAAGATACTGACCAGCCTAGACCAGTAGGCTCGGGCAAGACGGCCCTCATGCTAGCCCTCTGCAAACACCTCCGAACACGCTTCTCCATAGCCGCGGTAACAAACGACATCTTCACGCGAGAAGACTGCGAGTTCCTCACCAAGAACAATGCCTTGCCCGCGTAAGAGCAGCCACAATACACATATTGCCGGAGCATGTTTGACGCGATTGTAGTGAGCGCATCGTCGCTGTCGAAACGGGAGGCTGCCCCCATGCCGCCGTTCGCGAAGACATCTCCGTCAACCTCATGACGCTCACAAACCTGCACCAAAAGTTCAACACGGACCTCCTGCTCATCGAGTCCGGCGGCGACAACCTCGCTGCGAACTACTCGCGCGAACTCGCCGACTTCATCATCTACGTTATCGATGTCTCGGGTGGTGATAAGATCCCCAGGAAGGGTGGTCCGGGTATCACGCAATCAGACCTTCTGGTCGTCAACAAGATCGATCTTGCCGAGGCCGTCGGTGCGGATCTGGGTGTCATGGAGCGGGATAGCAGGAGGATGCGTGAGGGTGGACCGACTATCTTTGCGGTCGTCAAGAGGGATCAGGGTGTGGATGCTATTGTGGACTTGATTCTGTCAGCGTGGAAGGCTTCTGGTGCGACGCAGGCCAGAAAGGAGAAGTTCGAGCCTACGTTGATGGAAGAGAAGTGAAACGACAATGAAGAAGCGACAGTGTGTCACGAGCAAACTCAGTCATGGCTCACGCGTGTTCGCAGACATGATGTTTATTACAGAACGAGAACGCTACGATTTACAGACTATAAGCAATTATATACTTGGGAACCTTACAGCTTGGCACCACCCTCTACATCTACACTTCCCTTCAGCAAGTCCCAATCCGCCATGGTGAATACAACATATCCATCATCACCGCCACTCTTGCCCTTGCCAGATCCAAGAGCGGCCGGGTGCCAGTACATGGTATCGTACTCCGCCTCTTCTTTCCCTTGCTCCTTCGCCTCCTTATCCGCCCTTTCCATAAGCTTCCTCAGATCAATACCGTCGTTTCTCAGCGGAACCTTGTTCTGCTTGTTGTTGTGCATCGTAGTCTGCTGTTTCTGTATCCTCAAGAAGACAGGCACTGCGTATTTCGGCAGCTTCTCCTTCGCGTGCGCAAGTAGCGCGTTGAAGTTGAACGAGTCTAGATGTGCGGGGTCGATGTAGATGGCTGCACAGCCTGCGCGACCGTCGTAGCCAGGCACTTCGACACCATAGACGTTTGCTTCTTGAATTCCGGGGAAAGAGCCAAGTGCCTCGCTGACTTCGGCTGTGCTCACGTTCTCCGACTTCCAGCGGAAGGTGTCGCCGAGGCGGTCCATGAAGAACCAGCGGCCGTCGGCGTCGCGGCGGAGAGCGTCGCCTGTACGGTAATACAAGTCGCCTTTCCGGAAGACATTGCGTTCGAAGCGTTTCTCAGTAGCATCCGGGTTATTCCAATAGCCGACAAAGGCTTGCTCGCTCGGCATCTGTACGAGGATCTCACTGCCCTCCTCGTAGGACTTGCGTTTGCAGAATCCAGTCTTGGGATCGCGCAAGAGGTCTCCGGTTACGAAATCGATCTCGACTGGGACGTAAGTGTTGTGGGAGCGCCAGCGCTCGATGAGACCCTGGTGTCCGACTGAAGTTGCTGTGAAAGGCCCACGCGAGCCATTGAAAAGCGCCATGACGCCTTCTGTGCTGTTGAAGAACTCGCCGACGATCTCGATGCCGAAGCGATCGACAAAGCGCTGCCATACATCGGGACGAAGACCGTTTCCGAACATGGCCCTGACGTTGTGTTTCCGATCGAGCTCGCTGGGAGGGGCGTTGAGAAGGTACCGGGCGGTCTCTCCTACGTAGACTATGGCGGTGGATCTCGAATCGCGTACATCGGTCCAGAATTTCGATGTGGAGAACTTGGTGCCGATACAGCATGTAAGGCCGGTGACCATGCAGACGAGTGCCGTCGTGCCTCCCGTGCCGTGGTATAGAGGCATGCAAACATACCACCTATCGCCGTTGGGTCCTGTCTTCAGTCCCATAGCACCCACACGTTGTGTCAAGCCGACTGCTCTTTGCGTCTCGAAGGGGCAAGCTTTCGGGTGTCCGGTTGTGCCACTGTTCTAGTTAGCATCATCCTCTTCGCAAAAGCCATCGCGGTAACTAACCTTGTGTAGAACAGGAAGAGCGGGAACTTCCCCTTCATGCCCACCCTAAGCTCATCCTCAGGCCTAGTAGGTTCCAACCTCGATATCTCTCCCTTCAACCCGGTGTCCAAGACCAGTACAGTCATGCCCAGCTCGCTCTCCAGCCTCTCCCTCACAGCTTCGATGCGGTCTCTGCACTCCTGGTCTTCATCCACAAGCAGCACCTTGGCGCCGCTGACTTTCAGGCAGTGCACCAGCGCATCGCCGGCGAGGTTGTAGTTGATCCACGCCGGCGCGCTTCCTATGCTCCAGCTACCCAGATGTGCAAAGAGGAACTCCGGCCGGTTCATCATGTACATGGCAAAGAGCTGCCCGGGAACGACGCCATTTTGGCGGAGGTATTGGCCGTATCGGCAGGCGTTTGCGTAGGTCTCGGCCCAGGTGTAGCAGCCGGTTCGGGACCAGATGCATTCTTCGGTCGAGGGCAGGCGGTGGACTTGGGCTTCGAATTGGTACCACAGAGATTGGCCTCTGCCTTGTGCTGTTGTCTTGTTAGGAAATGGTGGGCACGAGGCTTGTGTAGCTCGGGCTTACAATTCTTCTCGAGATCGCGCGCGGCAGCTTTCAGGACGCGTTGGCCTTTGAGGTCTTTGGTGATGTGGTATTTGGCGTCGATGTAGGCTGCAGCGGCAGTAACGCCTGCGATTGCGCCTGCTACAGCTTGAGGTGCTTCAAAGCTTCGTTAGCTAGCATGTACGATAAGGGTCGTGTAGAGATGGTCGGGAGCTGGATGGGACGACAAGCGCGCCACGGCCGCTACACGAGATGGGGACACGCACCGATCGGGAGAGCCATGATGAGATCTTTCTTGTATGTCTATGAATGAAGAATGTATGTGAAAGATGCGCAGAGAAACACTGAAGGTAAATGTCGCGACAAAAATACGCCGAAGTCTGCCCAATGCTTCTAGATAACCTGCGACATGGCCATCCGCAACGTGATCAATTGCCGACATGCCCTCGGTCTCTCAACCGCCGTTCTACGCCAATGCACGCGGCTGGCGGCCCCAGAGTACCTAACCCCACGTGTTGAGCCCCACACCTACCCGTAACTCTGCTCTTGCAACCTTTGTTGCGACGACTTCGGACCTTTTCCACATTGGCGATGGGTTAGATACTTGGTGATGGTTGATCCGCCTGGGCATAGGATAGCTGGCGGAGCCATGCCTATATTTAGGAAACTCAAGCCCGCTAACAACACTCTTACAGTCACAGTCTAGGAAGAAAAGTTCTTCTGTCCTACGTTATATTGTTTCGTATCGACATTACCGGTATTCATACTAGAGCTTCGCCTCAGAACCCCTAGCGGAATGAGCATTATACCTACATTACCGCAGCTCTTCCGACAAACTCACATGTGCTTGTGGAAGAAGTCCAACACCATCTTGTATCCGCGCTCATACTCCTTCCTGACCTTCTCCTGCGAAAGGTCACTGCGCGCCGCCATCCACCCGTGGATCTGGTCTGGGAACCACTCAACCACGTGAGGAACCTTGATACCCTCCTGCCACTTCTTGACGTCATCCTTCGACTCGTCGCCTGATGGAAGCATGATGTAGGGGATTTTGATGCCGGGGGCGTCGTCGCCGGCAACCATGGCGGGGTGGCATGCTGCTGCGACCTTGAACTTTGTGCCTTCCATGGAAGACAAGTTGACAATCTGTATAGTGTTAGGCGATACGTGTGAGGTAATCTAATTAGCTTTTCCATACCTTTCCGCCCCAGCAGAAGCCAATGATAGCCCACTTCTCAATTCCGTACTTCTGGGTGAGCTCATCAACAATCTTCGGAATGCGCGGCAAAGTCTTGGGTGGCGCAGCCTGCGACTGGAAGAACTCGCCCATCTTCTGCTCCTTCTCCTTGGTGTCCGGGGGCATCCAGGAGATGTCGGCTGGCTTGCCGTCGAAGAAGTCGGGCATAAAGACCTGGTACTTCTGGCTGTCGGTGTAAGCCAAGATATCAGCACCTTGGAGTGTTTGGTTGAAGAATCCGAAGATGTCGTAGACAACTAGGATTCCTTGCTTTGCGTCCTTGGGGCCGGTTTGGTCTGTTGAAAGTCAATTGCGGTCCCTGGTGATGTCGTGGTGCTAGAACGTACAAGTCTTCAGTCCATCTGCCTCAATGTAATCGCCCTTTGGTTGGTATCCCTCGCTGACTACAGCGGGTGTGTTGCAGCATGCCTGCGACTGTGTGGATTCCGTCGACATCGTTGCGGTCTGTTGTTTGGATATGGCGAATAGCCCTTGTTTGCGTGGAAGTGCTGTCTGACGAAGTGTAAAGGATCGTGGTGCCGCGATTGAAACTCTCCGTAAGTTTTGAGGTAAGAGTCGAGCAGTTGGAGATTGAAGAAGTGAAGTTGTTCGTGCAATGACGCGCATTATGAGCTGCTAAGGTATTTGTCAAGCTGTCAACGACGGTTTGGGTGGGGAACTGAGCACCGCGGCTACCCCACCATGATGTCACCAATAGCAATGATGAAGTAGACACAGTGCCTAGGTGTAACAGGGACTAGGATAGTAGCGCTTCTTCCAGAACCGTCTACTATCACATTGAAACTAGACGCTCTCAGTATGGACTGCTCAAGTGCCTTTCTACTAACAGAAGGTAGCGCCACACCGGACCTCGGGAGCCACGAACAACGTGGCTTCGCGCGATCGCACACTCCATGTACCGCCCAGCGACCGCAGTGTTCCTCGAGTGCAGGTAGGTGCGAGACAATGCATACCACAAAAGGCTTTGAAATCGCGGTACTCGACCAAGATCATCAAGCATCGCGTCCACTCGTAGCACCACAAACGTCACCAAATCTCCCATCTTCGTATCGACGCGCAAAGTCCAATTGCGTAGCCCAATGCTCCTCCATATACTCCGCATCCCTTTTAAGCATCAGATAAACCCTCAATTTGGTATTGAAATTCCACGCGCGTTTAAAGAGAAAAATCTTCTCTTCAGGAAGGTCCTTCTGAAACAAAGTCAAAGCCCTCTTAACTTTGCCCATATGCTCATTCAGATACGGATGAACCTGCGTGACAAACTGCCTCAGCGTAACTGGTCTCCCGTCTGCGTTCTCGATGACCAGATTAGGCGGAGGCTTGCATGCACAGTCTGGCTCTGGGCTGTCGTCGCCATGATGCCAGCCCTCGTGTAATGTCCATATGTCCTCACTTAGCACCTCGAAACGATGTCGACTGGGTACGGAGAGAGGTGTGTTCGCGCAAGGATGATCGAATAGTGGGACGAGTGTTTCTTCGTTTTTGGGTCCTGTCGTGATTTCGATGTCTTGTAGAGGGGCTAACAGGTTCCAGCGTAGTCGGTATAAGAGGTCCTCGCGGATTTGGGTTCCCATGTCTTTTTTCCCTTTGGTTTCTTGGATGGGGAGTCGGGGTGATTTAAGTAGAAGAGCGAAAAGTCAAGGAAATTTACTGGTCAGTCTGTTTGGGTTAAGACCGGGCAAGGTGCATGTACCTAGAAAACATCCCATGTGTGGAGCGTACCTGACAATATAGGCTGCTTGTAAGATTCGCTAAGCAATTACCCGGACCACGCCACGTGCTAGATTCCACGGCTCCACCATTGTCAAACAAAGTGTCAGAACCCCCCCAGCACATGCACAACCTCCCGTCAGAACATCCCGGATATGACTCTCTGATTTTGATAGCTTCAGTAGATTCACTATCTAAGCATCCAAGTTCAGCTGCTCAAGCAATGTGTCTATCTTTCCCAGCAAGATCTGATAATTCATCGCGTCCTGAGCAAACTCATCACCAACCTCCTCGCCGTCCAAATTCCTAATCACACCAGCAGCGATCTGCTGTTCCACCGCCGCGATATTCTCGTCCTGCTGTACGCCGTCTTCTAGTGCGAGGTCGCCCATTTCGTCAACAAGATCTCCCTCGGTACTAGCTTGCATGGCTGCGTTCTCGTCCATCATCTCATCTAGCCCGCTGTCTTCAAAACGAAGCCTAAATCGTTCCGAGAGGTAGTAGCGGATATCGTCAACAAGTTCGACAGTGTCAGTCTCCTGACGTGCCTTGACGCGGTTCGCGGATTCTTGGACCAGCTCTGCAAACTCGGGTTGGTCGATGTAGTGTTCCAGTCGGTAGGCGATGTATCGCGCAGCAAATTCTTCTAGGCGTTGTACCCTTGTATCCCATCCGGCTCGGATAACTTCGTAGATGTCCACGGCTTCATCAGCATCTGTAGCTCCACGTGGGTTGTCTGACTCCACTGCTGAGGTTGCACCGTTGCCTAGCGCAGAGATGATGATGGCGGCGCGCTGCTTGAGCTTCTCAATGAAGAGCTGATCTGCAGCAAAGAGCACATCGATGGCAATGTCCAGACCAAAGTCGGCGCGCTCGGTGTACATGAAGGTGAGTATGGTTTCCAGGACGGCTGGCGAGCAGTCGATGGTTACAATCTGCAAGTGCGGCGTATCTTGTGCTTCCTTGAACTGCGAGCTGAACATGGTCAGGAAATACTCGGAGCGCAATAGCATGGCTCGGTGCGCAGGGAATATAGTCGATTTACGGGATGCTCGTTGGCGGGACGGCGACCTCGAACGAGTGCGACCCGATCCGACTGGTATGCCTAGAAGAGGCCCCGGTGCATTTCGCACAGGCGGCGTAGATGACTCCGACGGCCCTGGTGACCGATCTGTCCCATCAGAGTCTTGATCCTCGTCATCATCATCGGCGCGCAGTAATATATCGGCAAAGATGGAGTTTTCCCGGTCCCATTGTATGCTGTCCACTCTTGCAGTGTCTACGACTCTTTTATGCCGGAGGACGTTGTTCTTGAACCAGCCCTCTAGCTGATCTCTGCCGCGTTCTAATTCGTCTGCTCTTCGCTGGCGCAACAATCTTCGATCCGAAACTTCCGTTATATCTTCAAACAGGCGTTCAATCTCCAGCTGCTTGCCAATCTTATCTATGCCTTTTAGCACAACCAGCTCCTGCTCGTCACTCAGCCCATGTAACGCTCTCCGTATTGAGACTTCCTGGAAGTACAGATACTGCAACGCCACACCTAGCGACTCGGCGGGTATAGTATTGGGCAGTTTCCACGACGTTGTATTCGGCGCTGTCTCGAGCTTCTTCGCAAAGTAGGGCGATCGTGCAGCGAGAAGGAATTTGTGGAGGTGGAACTCTTGGCCGAATGCTGTTATTGTGATGTCTGTCGTCTTGGGCGACGGTCGCGTGAGGAGCGAAGTGATATGTGCTGCCAGCGGTTGTAAAGGATTCGAGGATTTCGCGTAGTCGTAGGATAGCAGTAGATTACGTATACGGTCGTTCAGCGCATTGTATAGACATCTTTCGCCTTGGAACGTGTCGCGTTCGCAGAGTGCACCGTTTTCGAGCAGCAGGCGTATGACTTCGTAGTGACCGCATAGACTGGCCTTCAGCGGTCAGCGCCCTGAATTGAATAGCGAATTGTTTGGATTTGAACTCGGAGATTGTCTTACTAAGATAAGTGGGGTGTAATCAAACCTGTCTCTTGCGTTGATGTTTACCCCGGTCGATATCATTTCCTGGCAAACCTTCAAGTCCCCCCGCCGGCATGCTTCACAGAAGACCCTGAAATCTTCGCTCGTGTCCAGTGGATTCTCTTCTTTGAGCTGGCCCGAGGAAATCGCCTGGGCTTCGGTCGCGAGGGCGGCCTCGATCTCGTACTTCTTCTTGACGTCCATTTGTGTGGCGAGAAGGAGAGGTCCTCAGTAACGGCGACATGGTGGAGGTGAAAGTGACTATTGCTCCGCGATGACGAGTGGCGGCGGAGATCGGCGTGACTATCGATAAGGGCAGTGACAGGGGTGCGTGCGCCTGGCAACTGCAACACGTGAGGCGCGTGCAGCGTTGCTGGGTTGACGGCCGTTAGCGTAAACAGGGCCAAACACCAAGGAAACTTGGCTTCCATCCCACCCACTGTACATTACATACATCCCTCGCTACCTCCGAGCTCTACTAACCCAGCAGCTTGCTACCCTATCCTACCCTTAATAGTTGCATGTCTTTTGAGCAATAGCAATACCTTCACCATGCCCGAGGAAGAAAAGTACGATGTGCTCGAGAAGATTGGTACGGACCGCCCTCGATAGGCGCAAGAGGACGCATACTGACGTTGTATAGGCCATGGGTCCTTTGGTATCATCCGCAAAGTCAAGCGGAAGTCAGACGGCTATGTAAGCAGCGACGACGAAGCCTGCGCGCGCGACGTGCTAACCACCGCCTAGATCCTGTGCCGCAAGGAAATCAGCTATCTCAAGATGTCGCAGAAGGAACGCGAGCAGCTCCAGGCAGAGCTGTCCATCCTCAAGGAGCTCCGACACCCCAACATCGTCGCCTACTTCGAGCGCGACCACATCAAGGCATCGCAGGACCTCCACCTCTACATGGAGTACTGCGGCAACGGCGACCTCGGACGTGTCATCCGCGACCTCAAGAACAAGAACCAGGTGTGCGAGGAGGAGTTCGTCTGGAGCATCTTCAGCCAAATCGTCAGCGCCCTGTACCGCTGCCACTACGGTGAAGACCCACCTGCGGCAGGCCGCAACGTCATGGGACTCGTTGGCAACGCGAAGCCTGCCCGTGATCCGCGCAAGCCCATGATTCTCCACAGAGATCTCAAGCCCGAGAACAGTCAGTATCTGGTCATCTCCACGTCGCGTGACTCTGCGCTAACAACTCACAGTCTTCCTTGGCGATGACAACAGCGTCAAGCTGGGCGACTTCGGTCTGTCCAAGATCCTCCAATCCCACGACTTCGCCTCCACCTACGTCGGCACGCCGTTTTACATGTCGCCTGAGATCTGCAAGGCCGAGCAGTATGGTCCCCACTCCGATATCTGGGCGCTCGGGTGCATCATATACGAGATGTGCACAAAGTCACCACCCTTCAATGCCAAAACACACTTCGAGCTCATCTCGAAGATCAAGCTGGGCCGATACCCCGACATACCGGCCTGCTACTCGGCAGAACTGCGAAAGGTCATTGCAAGCTGCCTGAACACAACGCCCGACAACCGACCAGACACAGCCGCACTTCTCAACCTGCCAATCGTCAAGCTTATGCGCAAAGAGCAGGAAGTCGTCAAGCTGGGACAGGACCTCCGTGAGCAGCGTATGCTGACAGCGAAGCGGGAGAAGGAGGCAAGCGAAGCCATTTCACGGATACGCAAAGAGTTGGACGACCAATTACGACGAGAGTGGGA